AAAGTAGATATTGAGGAACAAACATCAGTTGCAGATGTGGAAAAATCTACAGAGGTGATATTGAAAGTAGATATTGAGGAACAAACATCAGTTGCTGATGTGGAAAAATTAACTAAGGAACCTTTGAAAGTTGTTGGTGAACAAGCAGCTGCGGATCTGGATACATTTACTGAAAAGCAAAATGAAGCTGATTCAGTAATAGCAGTTGCCGAACAACCTACATCTGAATCTATAATGGGTGCTGTTGCAACAGAGAATGCAATTTCAAAATCTGAACAATCTATTGAAGAGAACTTGCAATCCACCTCTAACCAGACTACCAAGGTACCAATTGAGGCTAAATTAGAGCTTGCAGAACATAGCACCGAACTTGTGCATGAATTGGAGAAACCTGTTGAAAGTGAAAGTTCGGTTGCAGTGGTCTCGTCATTAGATGAGAAAGAAACTGTAGGTTCCAGCTCAGCAGAAATCATGATATCTCAAGCTGTGGGTCCTTTAAAAGACCCTTCAATGGGACCTGCAGTTCCTCCACAGCAGCAACAGCAAAGACCAGGCATGGCAAGGGCCCCTGGCCCACAAGGACAAAGAATGGGAGCACCAACAATGGGAGGGCCCCGGATGGGGGCCCCAAGAATGGCAGGACCAAGAATGGCAGTACCAAGAATGGCAGGACCAAGAATGGCTGGACCAAGAATGGCTGGACCAAGACAGGAAGGACCACAGAGGCCTCCTGAACCAGCTCCATTTTCTGGCTTTATGTCTATGTTTTCTACCCCAAATGCCCCAAGTAAATCATCAACTGTTGGTGGCTTTTTTTCAAGTTCACCTAGTTCACTTTTTGGTTCATCATCTGCTCCTCGACCGCAGCCACAACAGCAACAGCAACAACAGAAAAGCTCATTTTTTGGACTCCCAAGTAGCATTGCTACAGAATCCCTTACGAGTGACCTATTTGGTATTTTTAAAGGTGAAGCAACTAAATCTGATGACAGCCATCATTCAGGCACAGAATCTGGACAAGGGGATACTTTTGCGACAGTCACTGTCTCTGAGAGCATTGAAGCGACAAATACAGAGAAGGCATCTTCATCTGGAGATGGCTGTGTCAAAAGCCCTGAAGATGTTGAGGTCAATGAAAAAGGATTAGAGGAAAAGGAGGAACAAACAGACATAACAGAGGCACAAGGAAGTTCTCTGACAGAGTCCATCATGAAATCTGCTTCCCTTGAGAAAGAATCAGGTGATGAAGGGCATGCAGAGCATTTAGAGGCCCCAGATTCTGCCTTATCTGACAAAGCTGTGCCACCCCCAGCTCCTGAAACCAAGGGAGTGTTTGAAATACCTGGTCTGACTGCTACTACATTTGGCTTTATATCTGTAGCTGCTGAAGGCACATCATCTATTGGATCCCTTTTCTCAAGCCCTTCTTCTCCAGCAACTGGCACAAAGACACCACAGCCACAACAGACGGATGGTGGTCTATTTTCTGGTTTTAAAAGTCTTTCAGCTGGTATTTTTCAGGATGAGAAGCCATCTGCAAAGGAAGAACCATCATCTGCTTCTTCTGTTTTTGGCATGAAACTTGGCTTAATGTTCGGGAACTCTGACCCTCCTAAACCTGCAGTGGTCACAGTCCAACCTCAGTCCCAAAGTCCAAAACCTACGGATGAAATTTGTGAGCTAGATCCTGAGAAACTTTCCCAATGCTCTGGAGAAACTGAAAGTGCAGATTCCAGTGACACAGAAGGACCAACAGAAAATTCAAACACAGGAAGTTGTGACACTTTTGCAGAGTCACCACAGTCTGGCCTCCCCTCTCACTCAATTTCCTTGGAAGAAGGATTGGATAAACCCCAGTTAAAGATCACCCCATGTGAGGTAGATAAGAAAGATGTTGACACACCTGACACGATGCATGCAGATTTGGGGACAGAGCAACCAAAGGACCTGTTGACAAAAAAAGACGCAAAAAGGCTAGTACAATTAGTATGATAAATTGCATTGGGCATTTATCATGCTTAGGTAGACAACTGTGTACCTCCTTTCCTGCTCCTATCCCCTTTAGTAATTATGTTCACATTTGCTATCTTTATCTCTGTGTTCTCCCATTTTTCTCTTTCCCATTCCTCAAATCAACTCTAAGATCCTATGCATACTGTAACATTAAGACATTTTCTATTTAATCTAACCAAACAAATGTCTTGCTTAAAATATACTGCTTATGCAACTCATGAATGCAGATAGTTTTAAGTACATTTGATACAAGTGTCATCAACAAAGTCACAGGAAAAATAAATAACCTTATCTGCTTGAAATTTGCTCACCCTTATGTGTAAATGTACTAAAGCTATGTTGTACATACAACACCCCGTAATAGCTTTCCCTGACAGTGATGGAAGTGCAATGAATGGTCTTTATTTATTAACATCTCATGTGTGAGGCGTCTATAAAGCCCCTCCTTCCTCTGTCCTCTGCAGTTCTCTAAATTATTCTCCAAGCCTTAGCCAATTTGTTTATGTGAATTAAAACTCTGATAGATTTATGATGGCGTGGCCATGCACACCATCAGGGCAGGCGGGACACTGGAATAAAAGGACCAGTGAAAAGTAATTTGGCCTGCACCCAAGACAAAGTAAATCATGCCTGTTAAAGCACAAAGCACTTTCCCTGTTAGCAGGCTCAATCATCCAGCAACCACAGAGTACTCTCTTATCCAGTCAGCCCTTTACGATTTTTACCAGGAAGGCTAAGTGTATCCCCAGTGCTCCGACACAGTTTTTAACCTTTAATTTTCAATCTTATTAAAAGGTTAAAGGATTATAAATAAGTTGCATTTATCATTGTATTTTACATGCATTTGCAGATCCTGTCATTTTACTGCAGTTAGAGTAGGTGAATTAAAAGTTTTTATTTATTCTGCTTTTAGGCAGGATCTAAAGTGTCAACTAGAATAGCTCCGTTTTTTATTTGCATGTCATTACCGGCTTAAACTAGCAGTATGACCACCATTTTTTGAAAATGCTGAGGACCTCCCAGTGCTGATGTTAACCCCTTTTTGATCTAATTGTTAGAACACTTCTGCAATCGCTTCAGTTATTCAAGACCCAACTGAATCCTGTTCATCCCTTGTTTCATTTCACCTTCTTCCCTGGATCTGATGCTACTTTTACCCTGAGTTTTACCCCCAAATGAACAGTTCCAACAGTTCATTTCCAAATTCAGTGTCAGCCATTTACAGATGTTTTTTTTTTACCATGAATTCAATTAGTAACACTGATACAAACACTGAATTTGAGAATTCAACTTTCAAATCTACGCTTCCTAAACGATATTTTGCTTTCACAATTCACCACCATATTCTAAATAACAACATCATTGTCTTACAGTCCACCGGACTGCAGTCGCTTTGATTCATCAGGCAACCTCAGCCCGGCCAGCTCCCAGCTCAGCTCTGAACCTGAGGAGCGGCGAGATCCAGAGAACCTGCGCAGCACTCTGAGACCACCTCATGAAAGCCAGAAGTCTTCCTGGAATGAAGAAGAAAATGAGGAAGAGTTTGAGAAAGAGCTGCATCCGCTCCCAGAGCCTGGTTCCAACAAAGACTTGCATGAATCTTTGATAATTCTTCCTAAGCCAATCCTTGACAACCAGGATAAGGCTAAAATGTGGTATGTTAAAAATATAGACATTTTGGTTTGCATGATTTCGTGAAACATTTCAATATTTAAAGTTGAATTTTGTTAGTTTGGTTTTGCTTTAAGATGGACTTCCCTTTCATCAACACAACCAGTCCTACAACTACAAGATGCAGGGGATGTATTTCAATTTCATCATGTTTTTCCCTTTGAACCTGTTGATTTTCTTTCTTGCTTTATTTTCTCAGTTTCTTTGAAGATGGCCCTCCACCCTGCTCTCCATCCAAAGTTCGCTGGCTGAAAGCGTACAACAAAGTCAGAGTACAGCTCCTTGAGGTAGGAAGAATCACTCTCTCGCAAAGCCCCTATTACCCTCTCCGTGTCTGATTTTCTTTCTTTACACACACACACACACACACACACACACACACACACACACACACACACACACACACACACACACACACACACACACACACACACACACACACACACACACGCACACACACACGCACACACATAAATATGTCCTTCAACAAACAGTGAAATCAAATGAGTATATCCCATGCATACACTTACAGATTTTAATATACAAGCTCATGAAGATTGATGTTTCACACTTTCATTCATTGAATCTACCTCATTTCCCCCCTGAGTTGGTTGAGTTTCCTTTCATGACACATCAATTTGCACTCATTTGTGCTCCTTAAGGATTTCCACTTTGATATGGTTTACCCCTTTTGAGTTAGGTCAAATCTTCCAATTCAGCTATCACTCTGTTTTACGTTCCAAGACATGGTACTGTGGGTTATAAAAACTACTCAGACTACAGTTGTCCTTGGTGTTCAGGTATGTTCATGTACTGTAAATGTCACAGCTGTTTGTGGCCATTTCTGTTGTGGCTTTTTTCTTTGTATGTTTTTTTCAGTGTCCTTTTGTATGAATCCTTCCATGAACTAATTACCAAAGCCTTGTGGATGTTGGCTCATACATTTATTTGATATAGAGACCTGTTTGCTGCCTTTACTCACCTTGCCTCAGACCCTACAGGTAAGATCTTGTTTTTTTAACTTAAGGTGGATTGCACTTGTGAGACATGTACTAAATGGAGATTTAAAAAAATAGTGACATTCAATTTGTCTGGATTCTTAAAAATTGCAGTGATATGAAATTCAAATGCTGTGGAAGGGACTAAATTGTGATTAAGGGATATTTTATTGATATTTGTGTATTCGTTAGATACACAGTGTGTCTTTGGTCCTGTCTGTAACCCCATAAAGCTATGTGTGTTATGTATTTGTCAGTGAAGTGTTCCAAAGTAGAGATCAAAGTCAGACTGGGTTTTTTTGTTGTATTTTGTTGTACACACACACACGCACGCACGCACGCACGCACGGTTTTTGGCATGAATCCAGTCCATCTTTTAAAACTATCCTCCTAAATATCCTAGCACATGGCAAGTGGCTGTTCTGTGAGGAGACGCTTCAGGGTGATGGGTAGAGCACAGCAGTGGCATTTACCAATATAACTGGCAGGGATGTTCTAAGGATAAAAGTATTATAATAAGTGTAAGTTAGTTAGTCAGTTAGTCAGTGTATCCCTGTAACTGCTGCTTAGATTTGTTCGTCTCTTCGTCGTTCCGTCCTCCAATTTGGATTTGCCTAAGTACACCTATGTATTAATTCCAAAGCTGCATTCACATGATATGCGTTAAAACGGCTCTCCACTGATGTTGCAGTTGTGTTTCTATGGAGAGACTAGGAAGGTGTGAATTTGTCCCAGAGCGCTGCGCCCGAAGTTCAAATTATTTCAATAATATCCTTCGACGAGCAACCAATCAGATGACAGCTGTATGTATTGCAGTCTATGATTGCTGCTAGCTAGCAGGTGAGGTAACCATAGAAACAAAACTTAATTCGCTTTTTCCACTGCAAGGCTCTGCGCCTAACCTTGCGGTGAGCAAAGTGCATCATGTGAATGCAGAATAACACTTATTGTTTAGTTGAGCAAAATGTCCTCATGTATATCTTCCATTCTTGAGGGATTATTGCTCGAGTTCAGTTTCAAAACATTTCTTTCTTAGCAGCAGAAGGCATTTTTGTAACACTCCTTTGCTTTCTAGACATAGACATCTGTTAACATGCGATGTGATGTTTAATTACATATATATCTGAGGTTTAGCTGTGTGGTCCTCGTGCCCTACTGGCTAGCTAATGGAATCTGAAGCCCACCATTCATTTCCCCTAAGGTTACTTCTAACAGCACTGTTGCGTTGTTGTTGTGTTGAGAGCCGTGTGGAAGACAACCCTCTGCTCTGAACGCAGTTCTGAAGAGGTGAGTTTTTATTTGTTATTTGAATAAAGAACGATTGGTGCAGTCACAGATGTGTTTGGGGATGTAGTATCAGAAGAAGGGTGCATCGATGGAGATGGCTCAATCCCCTTCATGTCTGGTGCTTGGTCCTGTGTGGTAGTGACAGGAGGTCGGCGTCTGATGAGCTGAGGGTGCAGGAACCAGTTTGGTGGATGCAAGTTGGTGAGGCAGGAGGGGCCTGGTAATGGAGGGCTTTGTGAGTGAGGAGCAGGATTTTGAAATCGATGCGTTAAGAGACGGGGAGCCAGTGGATGTGTACCATAAAGGATGCTGTTGCAGTGGTTGGGATTTTTATGTTGGCCTTAATATACATTGTAAAAGGTTTTCAGCAGAAAAGAGCCAGTTGGAGATAAGCTATTGCCTGATACTGTCATCTTGATTTGACAAGAGGTCTAAAGCATTATTTAATGAAAGCTAATTAACTCTCAGCAGCAGCATTATGTCAGAAACATACTACTTTAGTAGGGAAATATGAAAATGACGGTAACATTAGGATAAGATTAACTTTAAAATTGGTTTTAAGGAAAATCAAATAATGCTGCTCAGTGTGGCTGATGGTCTGAAGAAGCAGATCAAAGAGATCATAAGGAGACCACCACCTCCAGGTACTGGTGAGGATGTGTCATCTGTGGCTGATGCCGGCCACTTCAGCACAGATCTGAGAGAATAAGCAGTTCATGGAGTCATGAAGTGCTTATCAACAATAGAACGATTCTTTCAATTCCACCTTTGATCTTTTTCGAAACGTAGAGAGGAAGGCCCAGCAGATCGCTCACCTTTCATGACCAATTACACAAGCTGTATGCTGTTTGATGCTCATTAGTGTGTGTGTGTGTGTGTGTGTGTGTGTGTGTGTGTGTGTGTGTGTGTGTGTGTGTGTGTGTGTGTGTGTGTGTGTGTGTGTGTGTGTGTGTGTGTGTGTGTGTGTGTGTGTGTGTGAGACAGGGATTCCACGGTCCTCATTTAGGCCCTCCAGCAACTTCCAACTGCACTAATCTCTGTCCATTTATTTTTTTACCTTCAAACTTTGTTTCAGAGGTCAACAACAAAAGAGGGTATTCAAGTCGTGTTCAATAAAATACATATTGAAAGCATAATATCAACCAGGCCATTGTGTTATTACTTTGAGAACAAAAGTCACAGCACTTTCATCCTTTTCTTCCTGTGTAAGATTCTAAAATACTTTTTAATGGAAGCATTTGTTAATGTTTTAATATCGCTGTGAATGTGCCAAAATGTATCATTTTAGTACATGTAAATCAGCTCCTTTTCTGAGCAGCAAAATGAAAATCATTTTCTAGTTAAAATAAAATAATAAAATATGTTGAACAGCATCCAGCTTCTCCTGATGTGAGAATAAAGACTAACCAGGTCCCTTGAGCTATTTTTATATGTGTGTTAGGGTTGTGTGTTGGCAATAATCTGTATGACGATACACAGGTTACAACTCAATATAATGCAATATATTGCAATTCTTTAAAGAAATGTAAGGAAAACTGTCAAAAAACAATTACCTCTTAGATCTGAGAAAAAAATAATATTTTGTATGATCTGCATATTCATTTATTACACCCTTAACATGTTAAACATGTTAACAGTAAACCATGACTTAATCTTAAACACAAACCAAACCCTATGTATTGTTTGACAGAAAACTAAAGTGGCAGAACTCGATCTTTGGTCTTGATTCTTTTTTCTTTGAAGCTTTTTTCTCTCATCCTTTTGTCATTTTGCAGTACACTTAAATAAAAAGTATTACCATTACTCTGACCTTTGTAATTGTGTTATCACTTTCACTTTTGACAATCATTCATCTGAAATCCTTATGGGTAGCTGACTTTTCCAGACAAACAGCAGCCTTTTTCGCCCTTTTCAACAATATGTCTAGTTTGCAGCCCTTTCTATCTTTAATGCCATAAATCCATCTTTATACTGTATCTGTCTTGTAATCACTTATTGTAGTCAGTGTCCCCAATTTGTATTCAAATACATTACACAAACAAATCTATTTTTTTGCAACAATAATTTAAGTATTGGCCTTGTTTTTCTGCAACAGGGCTAAAGATAATTGTACGGAATTTCTGTTGTGCTTTCCTCCATTTTATGTGTCATTAAAAATGACATACAGAACAAAAATTGCCATTGTTATTGAAGTTTGAAAGCCTGAGAATCATTCCAGATTTAGCTCTGGTCAGCAATCTATTTTCGTCTTAGTGGGGAATATATGGACAAACATAGGGTTTGTCTCCAACAAATATTGTACCATGGCAACAATGTCACATTTCTATGGAAACGCAGTCTTACATTTGTTTGTAACAGGGGGGCCATCACTGCAGCTAGTGGTAGGTGTGCTTTAATTGACACACAGTGTAGTCCATGGGAAATGACATGCTGAGGCTCCATAGGCTTTACAACACAACAAGGAATATACATTTAGATTTGTTTTCCATTTGGTTGGAATCAGTGCATGATGAGAATTTTCTTTTTGGTTCTTCTTCTCAAACAGAAAAGAAGGCTAAAATCCAGATGAGAACATAAACTTTATATTTATATACATTTTCTTGATTGCTTTGATATGTGTGGATGCAGCAATACATTACACAGAAAGATGATCCTGTCTGACCATTATCAACTAGTTTGTAGCTACTCCATTTTGTTCTAGCTGCTCAGAAAGTCAGATTCAACTGGACCAAACAGCAGTGTTGTAGCAAAATTATTATTTTTGTGGAAGCCATCGTTTTTGGGAGGTAATGTAACTTCACAACATGAGCTATTAGAGCCCAAATTTGATATACATTTGTTTAATACAGATACAGGACTTGCATACACCTGATATTGATGCTGAGACATGACACACACTCTGGGGGACTCTGCGTCTACTGAGCGTCACAGAGACCTCTTCTCTGTTATAATCTACAATCTCATTAAAACAAGTACTTCAGACTGACATATTAAGCTAAATC